CTACATTTTTTTGCGATGTTGCCTTGACCAGGGCTTGCACCTAGACCCTGCGGAGTGGAAGCGCGCACTGCTTACCACTACACCACAGCGGCCGCCATTAGACAAATATGATATTGAAAATGAGGGAGCAAAATGCGAAAATGAGGGCCCTATATTAAAAAAAAAAACAGTACAAGCAGCAGGAAGAAAAGAAACAGGAAACGAAGCATATCCGCTTTTAAAAAGGAATTCAAGGATTTTGACATTAGCAAAACAAAATTTGACAAAGATCAACGGAAATAATGTCAATTGACACTATTTCGCATACTGGGGCATTAAAAATCGAGCGTGTTTAAATTCTTTAACAAAAAAATGTTATCTAATTGGAAAAAATCGGCGGGTCCGAACGGGATCGTCCGAACAACTTTGTACAGTTTTTGACAGCTATAAAACATCGTTTGGAAGTTTAGGTTGACGCAATAGTTATGGCTGCTTATTATTCTAACAACCATTAATACATAATTTTTTTGTACCGTTAACAGTTTCGCAGAATTTTGCAAAAATCATCAGTCATCTTCGATACGAGTTCCATTTTGATGATGACTACCCATGACAAAAAATTAGTGTCAGTCAGTCAAGTCAAGTCAGAGCCTACTATACTTTTTATGATGAAAACAGTGTCCCCAACGTCCGGAAGAACTAATGTGCACCCTGCAGGTAACTCAACTAACTATTGATGCACCATAAATTCACTACTTTTCTACTAGGGGTGACTATCTGGAATACTTTGCGTTGCTTTTAATTGACTACAAGACTTCTTTTTTCTAGACTTCAGCAGGGATCGAACTCGCGACATCGGTGTGCCACAAGCGTTAAACACTGAGCTATGCACACCCCGTAAACTCTTGTTGCTAATTCCTTTTCCTTATTCAACCTACTACTATCCCAAGACAGCCGGTTCTACGTACCGGAACGACTCGGGTTCTACCCGACCAAGGGCTGTTGTTTCGGCGATCTACTCCCGTTTAGGTCGGCGAAATCCCTCAAAAGCTGTACATCCATAGGGCTACATCTTCTGCGCATACTTCTGCTCAGGGCTGGCATTGAGTTAAACCCTGGGCCAAAGATGACTACACCTCAACTCCACCTCCGTAAGATGCAACACGTGCAATGGGTGGAGCCACCTCCGAGTTTGTTCAGGCCTTACGACTGACAGGCAGTGGACCACCGCATACGTGGCCCCTTGCTGCTGAAATGACAACACCACTGACACAACAGACCTCACCACCGATAAAACCGCACCACCACCCACACGCCGCCACCAACAACTCCTATTTCTTCCGACAATCTGCACGCTGTGTCAGTCCAGGATATCCCGTAATGTGACATCAGTCAAGAGCCACACTTGTCATGTCTGGTGTCACCTTGAGGCATGCTTAGGAATGCGCACGACGTGAGATTGGATGAGGGACTATGAGGACCCATGTGGTGCTCGGTCGCAAATACCAACTGCGACGCCGCCACTACCACCACAGGGCAACAGCCTTTGCAGCAGCAAGCGCAGCATGGTAGCACACCTCACTAACACCTCACATTCCAATAGGCACACGAAGATTTTACAATTTAACTTACAATTTAACTGTAACGGACTTCAGAGCAAGATCGAGGAGATAACAGTCTTCATGGGTCGGCACGGAATATTAATAGCTGCAGTCCAAGAGACGAAGCTTCATGGCAACATTCTTGAATTGCGCCGGATACAACGTGCACCGTCTATATCGCGAGCGAGAAAATGGTGGTGGCCTAGCGTTCATCACATCACGCACCACACCGTGCAGTAATGTCTTATCGAAGCAGATATCGACCGCAGGGATATCATCCTAGAATTTAAGGGTATTGCTATCCGGTCAGGCGATGTCGAGCTCGAAATATTTAACGTATATATATCCCCTGTCACCAGCTGCCCGGCAGGATATCACCCTGAAATAGGTGCGCTCATCAAAGGTGAAAACCGTATGGTAATTGGTGACCTCAATGCGCACCACGATCTTTTGAATTCAAGTCTCTTAAACGATCGTAGGGGAACTGACTGGGCTGAGCAGATAGACGATTCGACAAGGATTATGGGCAGCTGCTGCGGCTCGCCAGATTTAACAATAGTCACAGCTGGTCTGATAAACAGCGTATCATGGCGACCTGTGCTGACTTTGGCATCAGACTATTTGTCCATAGTCATCTCGATTGATAAACCAGCCGACTTTGCTTCCGCGGATCACCGGACCTATGCCAACTTTTCCAAAGCTGACTGGAAAGGCTTCGCGGGTATTACTGAAAGCGCCTTCACTGCTCTACTCGCACCAACCGACGTTCACGTAGGTGAGCGAGAATTCCGCAGGGTTGTGACTGCTACTGCAGCCCGCCTCGTTCCAGCGGGATGTGTCTCGGACCCACGCCCGAATTTTCCTGCTGAAGCGGCTGTCCTAGTCGATGAGCGTGGCAACCGTCATCAGGCCGATCCCGGAAATCGGCGTATCAGGGATCTCAACTCGGAGATTCGGCAACTTGTGAACGTACATAAGCGGAAGAAATGGGAAGAGCATCTGAAGACCTGCAACTTCGCCTCTGGTGTAAGTAAGCTTTGGTCAATCGTGAGGTCATTGTCTAACCCGACGAAGCGTGACGACAGAGTTGAAATAGGCTTTGGTGACCACGCTTCGTCGGACCCGGAGCGATGCGCGAGCTGTTTTAGCCGGCAGTGCATACTGCATCTTCCGGTGGATAAAGCCAAACGTCGAGTAACCAGAAGAATGCAGAAAATGCCAAAACCTAGTGCGCCTCTTGTTTTCACCAGCGGTGATGTAAGGGTAGCCATCGGGAAGGCGAAAGCCTCCAAAGCCATTAGACTCGATGGAATTTTAATGTTGATGCTGAAAACTTTAGGTTCCGCGGGAGTGCATTATTTAACCAAGGTCCTCAACCTAGAGAACTCGTGGCCTTAATCGAAACCACCCCTGTGAGAGAACCATTCTAGTAGCGTTGGACCTGTCTAAGGCGTTCGACACTGTCAACCATTCAACGCTATTAGAAGACATAGAGGCCTCCACTCTCTCACAGGGACTCAAGCGATGGTTGGCGAATTATTTGGGTGGCCGTCACTCGTCAGTAACTTTTAGAGACAAGTCGAGCAAACCTAAGAAAGTAAAACAGGGGATTCCACAGGGTGGTGTCCTTTCCCCGTTACTATTTAACTTTTACATTTCAAAGCTCCTTCAACAACCAGAGGGCGTCTCGATTGTCTCTTGTGCTGATGAATGTTCGATCATGGCGTCTGGAAATGGAATTGATGACTTGTGCTCGAAAGTAAACGGTTATCTCGCCGAGATTTCTCGCTTCTTCGCACCACGGAGCCTAACTCTCTCCCCTACAAAATCCTCAGCCACACTGTTTACCACCTTTATGAAGGAGGTCAGACTACAACTGGAAATTCACGTCGATGACGAACCAATTCCGACGGTGAACAACCCGAAGATCCTTGGAGTAACCTTCGACAGTCTGCTCTCCTTCTCGGCGCATACAACCGCAATTGTCAACAAAGTACAAAGCCGCAACAATGTCCTTAAGTTGCTAGCCGGCAGCACCTGGGGTTAAGGAGCACAACAAAGGAAGAGCCTGCCTGAAACTATACAATAAAGCAAATACATGTATAGAATTGACAACAACAACCACGCTGTCAAGTTTAAATAGCGCAAGCTGAAGAACCGTCCTCCTTTGAGGAGGATTGTCTTCCTCAAACGTGATTTGTCCTTCTCTGACCTCCTTTTGAGCAAAAATGTTGTCCTTGTCCTCCTTTTAAAGTTATATAGTAGTGATGAAATTTTCAAAAAATTTCGTTCAGAATATTATTATATATTTCCTAATCGTACACAATCATTGTATCTAA